GGCGTATTGAAATTTATCTTTATTATTATTCCATCAATGCTTTTTCACAACCATTACCACTTACTCTTCCTCTACCATCATTATCTATAATAATGGTATAAATATATTATTTTTATTATCACATGATTATTATTATCATTATTTTTTTTGTTTTTCTTTTTTGTTACTGTCACCATCACCACAATCACTTTTATTGTTTTTACTATTATTATCATTAATGAAATTATTTTTTTAAATTTTAAAAATCATATATTAAAATTTCCAAAACACAGCATTAAAATTAAAATAAATTTTATTTTTTTATTTTTCACTTTGATTTCCCCATTTTCATTATGTATATTTCATTTTTTTTATAACCAAACCGCCACGTAAAGGAGCTGCCAATCTGGAAGTGGATCCAACAAAGACTAGCCGAGCAGCAGGAGTGGCCCAACTTCCTTCTCTTGGGCTGGTGGCCGTGGTCCATCTCTCCAGCAGTTCTCCAATACAATCAAGCGGACGAAATTTGTTGCTGTGAATTAGAGCCCATCTGTTAGGTGCTTTAACAAAAGTGTGTTACATTTATTTTTTTATTTTATTTTTTTACACCGCAACAACAATGACGACACACATGCTTAATTACTATAACTGGGCCAGCAAAAGAAATCCCACTTGTTTTTGGAGACTAAATATCTAGAGCAACCATGATCTGAAATTTTGAGAAATATTTTTAATTTAAATTTGAAATTGGAGGAAACCATATACGTGGCAAGTATAATTTATATACGTGAAAGTTGAATTATTAAAATAGATGTATAGACATATTGATTATACGCTATAAAGAGTATTGGATGTTTCAAATTTATTTAATTATTGATACAAAGTTGAAAGCATTTCTATTAATATGACTAACAGTTGAATTCGAATACAAGACTACAATTTAAATTATTTTTCTCATTCAGATGAATAGTAGTGAAATTCCATATTGATAATTACGTACCATTTGCTTCCCTATGACTCTATTCATATAATACTTTTAACTTTTAAGGAATATTTTGGTATTCATATTCTATAATATTTTTCCAAATATAATTATTAGAAACATAATATTTATATTTATTTGAAAATAAAAATTTATGATATTGTATCTTTATTATGTTTAATTCATCATTGGATATTTAAATAAATTTGCTATTTTACTTTTAAAACTTAAAAAATTTAAATTGATATTATGATACATTTTTTTTTTCAAAATAATTATGTCAATAACCACATACACGTCATATTAATTTCACGATATTAATGTTAGAAGGGAACTCCATGAGTCAGTCAGGACTTATTACAAGTTGGACCGGATCAACCATGGTATAGCATTGATTCATACCACCATTTATAGCCTCAAGGAAAAAAAAAAAAAAAAAACCCTCACTCTTTGTGAGTAAATGAATTAATTAGCTACTTTAGTTTCAAAAATTAATAATTTAACTTTTTTACTATTATTCAATTTCTTTTAATTTTTTATTTTAAAAAATAGAAAAATAAATAAATATAGGAAAAAATCTATGTGAAAAAATATTTTATAAAATAAAATAAAATTAATCATGATAAATACTGATTAAAGAAGTTAAATAATTAATTTCGAAGATTATAAGAATTAATTAATTCGTTTCTCAAAACACGACCGACTAATTTATAATTTACTTTGGTCTTTCTCTTAAAGAGATTGTTTATATTTTTATTTATATATATTTCAAAATATTTATCCGGTTAAAGTTTTAAATTATTTATTTTAATAAAATACTTCTAATTAAAGTTTATTTGTAAGAAAAATATTTAAATAAAAGTTTTAAAAATAATATATATTTTTTAAAATACTCACATGACATAATAATAAAATTTTAGACATTATCATTTTTTAAAAGAGAGGGAGTAATTTGATACACATATCATTATGTAGATGCAAAACTAGCATATATCTCATGCGTTATCGCATAGTGAGTTATACAACATTCTTATTTGTTCATTTGTATAAAATGCAAAATTTTAAAATAATCATCTAAAAGTATCATGTGAAAAAAATTCAAAAAAAGAACCAAAACATATATCTCATATTTTTGCTATAGGATTAGCTAAACGAAAAGCTCGCAAAGTTGAGTAATACAATATTAATAATTAGATATTGTTTGATATTAAAATGTATTTTATTAAAAATATGTATACTAATTAGTAATTAAAATAATGATGTGATAATTTTTTGAATTTCAAATGATTAATTTTACCATATATTCTTTATCCGTAATTTATCAATGAGATAGAGAGATCATAAAAAAAAAAAAAAAACAAAAACCAAAAACAAAAACGCTTTGTCAAATGAGAATTTGGCAAAAAAAAAAAAAAGAAGAAGAAGATAAAATTACATACGTTAAAAATTAAATGATTAAAACAAAGTAAAGATCATAAAAGAAGGGTCAAAATAAATAAAAACTTTCACTAAAAGCTAGAAAAAAAAACTTATGAACAATAAGACCGAAAAAAAATTCATTATACATAAGGCGTAAATAAGAGTAAAACATGATAGAATTTAAATAACAAAAAAAAAATCACAAAATAAGAACGAAAACAGAAAATGTTTTTTTTTTAATTAAAAGAAAAAAAAAACTTAGAATGTTAAAACTGTATTTAATTTTAATGTAGAAAGAATAATAATTAAATATAATAATAATTTAATGATCAAAATAAAAGAAAGATCATAAAATAAAAACTAAAACATAACAAAAAGTAAAAAATAGTTCATTATAGAAAAAAATAAAATATAATAAAAATTTAAGATCAAAATAAAAAATAATTATAAAACAGGGACAAAAATAGAAATAAAATTCTACTAAATTTAATGGCCAAAATAAAGAAAAAAATATCATAAAACAGGAATTATAGTAGAAAGAAAAATTTCACTAAAAAAAAAGCTTAGGATAATAAACTTTATTTAGTTTCAGTATAGTGAGAATAAAAATCAAATATGATAAAACTTTAATGACTAAAATAAAAACATATCACAAAATAGGAACCAAAAAAGAACATAAATTTTTACTAAAAGCCAAGAAAAAATATTCACAAAATAGGAACAAAAAAAGAATATAAATTTTTACTAAAAGCCAAGAAGAAAATATTTATTATAGGGACAAAAAAATATAATAAAATTTTAATATTTATTATAGGAATAAAAAGCAAATATAATAACATTTTAATAATCAAAATAAAAAAAAATCACAAAACTAGGACCAAAATAAAGATAAAGTTAACTAAAAGCCCTTGGCTACATCAACTGAAAAAGAAAGAAAAAAAATAAACAGTTAATGAATAGTAAAATTGTTACAATGGTTTAGGGATAAAAAGTAAATATAATAAAATTTTGATAAACAACATAAAAAAGATAACAAAACAAGGACTAAAATAAAAATAAGTTAACTAAAAGCTAAAAAGGCCCTTGGCTACAGCAACTGAAAAAGCAAAAAAAAAAAAAAAGTAAGTTAATAACCAGTGAATTGCTACAGTAGTTATTTTGTTTTCTTTTAGTTTTATCGTAATAATTGTAATTGTAATTGTAATTTAATGGGTTAAAAGAACAAAAGATGAACACGTCAATCATCGATAACTGACAGACAAGAAAAGGAATAAATCCTTTTAATATGGCAAGAATAATTAATAATTGAAATCACAAATGGATCATTTACAGCTCATTCAGATAAATAAACTTTAAAGTTATATATTTGCAAATGGTAAATTCACATCAAATATCAAAATTTCCACAAGAAAAGGAAACGTACAGACAGGTTGAATGAAGCCCCCTCATACAACCAGTCAAAGTCTTCTTATATGCAACTATAGTCCAATCAGTTTCAGACACGCAACGTAACTCATCGTACTTGAAACGCATGTAATAAAAACTAACATAAAAAAATAAAAAGAGGGTGAAATTTCAACCAGACTGAAAAAGCGAAGTCAAGTCTGGCTAGCTCACCAGTCACCAACTACAAACAAATAAACAAAGACAGGAAACAGAAACAAATAATAATAATTCATAAAAAAAAAATCTAAAGTAATTACTAATTTGCAATTTCCCTGTATTAACTTAAACTCAGTCTAGCAAAGTCAAGAAAGAAACCCCCCTCACTTTCTCTCTCTCTCTTTCCTCCCCCAATCTCGCCTTATCCTGCGCACCCCTTGGCCGGCATCCACCTCTCAGATCCTCCGGCTCTCACAGACTCTCTCTTTACTGACTGATCAAGCATAGCAACTATCAGTTATTTGTACGGATCCATCTCTCTTGCCTCTTTTAATCCTTCTATGCTTAATTACTGAAGATTGCATGTGATTGATCTGCTGGTCATTTTCTGTTTGCCAATCGAACCCTTTAATTTCGTTATCTTTAACGAGAAATACAAAGTCGCTGTCTTGAATATTTTAACGTTATTTTAGTTTTTTTCTTTTCTTTGGTACAATGAAGTAAATACTGGTATTATGTAAGCATTTTTATGCATTTCTGTAGTGGAGTTAGTTACCTTTGTTTCATATGTTAGTTTCTATTGCGAGGATTATTATGAGATACTTTTAAGAAGTTCTAGAAACTGGGAATTGTGGGATTCCAGTAATTTCATGGTATATACACCTTGCTTTTAATGTTATTTTTATTTTTTGTTTACCTTTAAGTCCAAATTGATTTCCTTTATAGGGAATACTTGGCCCATTTTTGTGGAGTGTGGATGACAATCTTTTGCGCGTGCCTGTGGAATATAAAACGTCTGTTAATTTGATTAAATTCGTTTCTGATGCATTGTTAAATACGTTTGGAAGTTTCTTGTTTTGAGCATATTATCTGGGTGCTGATAACCATGTACACGTTAGCTCTTCTGATCTCTTTAGTGGTAGCTTGGGTTTTAAATTGTTTCTGGGTTTTTTTTTTAATGGTAGTTTTTCGTAAAATATTTTGTGTTGCAGAGTGGGATTTATAAAGGTTTTGAATCATGAGCTGCTTCAACTGTTGTGAAGAAGATGACATCCATAAAGCTGCTGATTATGGAGGCGCATATACAGTTAAAAGCTCAGCAGGTAATATCTGCCGGCCAAGAAGTTAGAAGTGTTGTAGGAAGAGTAATGTATTTCAATTATCAATTCAAATTTGCTGAATGAACTTCGAATGATTTTCATGGTGTAAAGCACTCCGTACCGTTTCAATTAATAAATGCACATGTTCATAATGCACTCTATTCCTTTTCTCTAAAATGTTTTAGTGAAAAGTTTACTCCCTTTTTTTTTTTTTTTTTTTTTTTTTTTTTTTTGAATTCAGCTTTTATTATTGACTCTAATTGTTGATCTGAATTTGACCAAGCAGGCAATGTCGGCAATTATCATGCATCAGAAACAGCACCCAAGGGCCCCCAGGCTGTTAAAATCCAGCCTATTGAAGTCCCTGAAATATCAGTGGATGAACTTAAGGAAGTTACAGATAACTTTGGTACGAATTCATTGATAGGAGAAGGATCATATGGAAGAGTATATTATGGTGTTCTTAAAAGTGGGCAGGGTGCAGCAATAAAAAAACTAGATGCCAGCAAACAACCTGATGATGAATTCTTAGCTCAGGTTCCTTTGAAATCCCAAATTGTTGTATCTTCCATTTCAATTATAATTTTGGAGTTACATATCAAATGTTTGTACGTCTTCAACAGGTCTCCATGGTATCAAGGCTGAAGCATGAAAATTTTGTACAGTTGCTTGGGTATTGTGTAGATGGGGGTTCCCGTGTACTCGCCTATGAATTCGCTTCTAATGGATCTCTTCATGATATTCTTCATGGTATTATCATGTCTCGTCGTGTCAATTGTTCTGATATGAAAGCTTAATAATTCATTTCATTTGTCTAGCTACTTTATCTTGTTTCTGATACTCACCAGTTTTATATGCTTAGAGCTGTAGAGTCTTTTAATCCTTTTAGAACCTAATTGATTATGGTTCTCATTCTTTTTTTAGTGCTGTTCTATATAATCAGAGAAAAAAGCTGCCATTTATTGTTGCAAAATCACATGATATGGTATCTTTATTTGATATAGATGGACTTTTTAGCCATGTGTGCTTGTTTTCTCAACATTCATTTGGTTTTGCATGCATGACAAACCTTTGGGTGGTAGACACTTTGCATTGCAAATGTTCCTTGTTTCAAACCCAGCAATAAAAGCCTTGGCTTTAAAAAAAGGGTCCAGTGGAAATCCACTAGCATATGCTTGCATGAAATTTTAATAGATGTCAAAACACCAACATGACAAGATTTTTTAATTAAATCTGTGTTTCTATCTTGGTGTTGAGAGTTTACAATGCTTTTATAAAATTTCAAATACTCACATGTATTCTTTGGTTCTTACAATGAAATACTGGTTCATATCATTTGCATGATTAATGTTTTAGTTGTCTACGTCTTGTTAATTCAGGGAGGAAAGGTGTTAAAGGAGCACAGCCCGGTCCTGTCCTTACGTGGCCACAGCGTGTAAAAATTGCTGTTGGTGCTGCAAAAGGGCTTGAATACTTGCATGAAAAGGCCAATCCTCACATCATTCATCGTGACATTAAGTCCAGCAATGTTCTTATTTTTGATGATGATGTTGCAAAAATTGCTGACTTTGATTTGTCAAATCAAGCTCCTGATATGGCAGCACGGCTCCATTCCACTCGAGTTCTGGGTACATTTGGTTATCACGCTCCCGAGTAAGCTATTGGTTGATTATTTATCATTACATTCTTTTCACATGTATGTTTTACTATGTCAGAAGCTGTTTTGTTTTCTAAGGTGGTTATGAGGAAGCTAAAGGACTAAGCTGCTTATTAGATCCACTATCTGAGATTTTTACTTGATGATTTAGCCTCCCTTTTGGAACTTAAAATTGAAAATTGAGTAATGCTCCATTGCTTGCTAGAAAAAGAAAAGAAATCTCTTATGTTTCTGATAATTGTCCTTAGTTGAAAGCTTGTAGATTATAGTTATAATTTGATTTCCTCGTGTCCCTCCTGCTATCAACTTAAACATAAGTAATTGCTAAGACATCCCGCTTTCAAAATCTTGATGTGAGAGTGCATGCCTTGATTGTTGTGCATTGGCAATCTTTGTGGTTGGCAGATATGCAATGACTGGACAATTGAATGCAAAGAGTGACGTGTACAGTTTTGGCGTTGTCCTGCTTGAGCTTCTGACTGGGAGGAAACCTGTTGATCACACTTTACCACGTGGACAGCAGAGTCTAGTGACATGGGTACCAATCACTATTTGTTGTCCCATGCCTAGGACTTATTCTCTACTACCAAGCTTTTGAAACCTGTGTTTCTTTTTCTCTCCATCCTAGCTGACAACTGAGTTTTTATGTGTTAGGCTACACCAAAACTCAGCGAGGACAAGGTTAAGCAGTGTGTTGATGCAAGATTACAAGGAGAGTACCCACCCAAGGCAGTTGCAAAGGTATTTGCTTCACCTGTAAAATTTCTTTGTAAATCATGTAGAAGGACACTTCTATTATTGAAAAATCGGCTCATCAGTTTGTTCAATTGTCTCCAAAAATGCCATGAGAAACCTGTTTGCATCCTATTCAAATGGGGCTTTGCATTGCTACATGAGTCATATGGCCTTCTCAAGGTGGAAATCTTAACAGCATATATAAGATGCTGGAGTAAGATGTCTAAAGTGCTACCTTTAAACTCTCTCTGTCTTCATTATAGATGGCTGCCGTTGCTGCCTTGTGTGTGCAATATGAAGCTGATTTCCGGCCTAACATGAGCATTGTGGTCAAAGCCCTCCAGCCCCTGTTAAATGCCCGGCCAGGACCTGCTGGAGAAGCACCAAACATATAATTCTTTGTCCCCACCCTCGGTGTATGTTCGAGCGTGTATAATCCATATGCAAGCATAATATATCAAGGTTTTGTTATGTATGTAGCAAAACTATGGACAACGTTCCTTATGCTCCCATTATTTGATGTGCATTTGATTTTTGTCATGTGTGAAGCTGTCCATCTTGTCATATGATTTTACCTTTCATCGTCCTTTTTTTACTTTTATTTTTTTCCAGCTAGTCATTTTCGCTTTAATATCCTTTTCTTACGAGGAAGTTGTTACATGTTTTACTAGAACGAGTTTTTTTTGTATACCATATCTCTCAGATGTGAATAATGATGATCTTCTTATCCAACTTGTAAATGAGATTGTTTATTTGAAACAATGGAATGTATCTGGGCGATGTTTAATTTGTATTTGGACTCCATATGGGCCAAGTGGTTTGAGCCCTGATGTTTCTGGGCCTCCATTATATCTGCATTTCCTTCTCTCTCTCTCTCTCTCTCTCTTCTGAACCATAAAGAAACATGCCAAAACATATCATTAGGTAGAACCATAGAAAACAATAGTTTATAGGCTCAGAAATGAACAGAAAATGGGCATATAAACTGGTTAGAGACTTCAGACTAGAAAGTCAATCTACGGAAGCACTTTTTTGGAGGCCCTTGACCAGTTGACCGTGAATCTCCAGCATCCGTACTTAACAACCCATAATTCAGTTTTTAGAATGAAAAACCTTGAGAATTATTGGCCACAAGACATAGGGGCGCGAACAGGTGGTTCTGCCAAAAATTTTCCATTTGGTATAATAGTATTTTTATTGATGCGGAGAAGTTTTTTTTTCTTTTCTTTTCCCTGAACATGGAGAAAGATGATATATGCACCCTAATTCTGATATAAAATTTAAGAGTTACAAAAATGTAGAAGGCGCTCTACAAATACTCAAAACGAGTGCGAAAGAGAACATGGATGGAAAAGTTAATAGATCAAATGTTCTTCTTGATGATACTGATTTTGACAGTTCTGTGGCATACAAGAATGGGTAGTACTGCAAAATGCCACGACGTACGGCTGTGACTATGAGCACTATCATATCTGGAAGGCTGTCGCCATCCAATTCCAGACGTAGAATGCGTTGTGGAACTCCTCCAGCAATGACTCTCCAGAGAAAAAACGGATCAGTTAATTTCCCACTACAAAAACTTAGTCTAAAGAAGAATTATAGAGGTTGAATAGATGCTTTTTTTGTGGTTCCTGATTAATATATGATATTTTAGGTCATTTTTTCACCTTCTATGTGCATGATTCTTTTTCCTCGCTTAATCAATCTTACAATTTATATGACAAGCATAATATTCAGCCCTTCACTCTCTACTAAATTTCTCCCAAAATCAAATGTCTTTAATTTGATTTTCCTCTAATTTTTTATTTTATTATGAAAATGAGTGTATAAATAGGTTTGACTACATTACTAATAAGAAATATTATGTTTTTCAGATTCGCACACGTATGGGGGGATTTCACCTTTATTTGAGTTGGATCGAAGATTAGAATGCTTTTGCAAGTAAGGTTAATTTGATATGAATATACTACCTCAACAAAGTGGCGAGCAAGTTCATATGGATCAATACTTCATAGATATCTGCTGCAGTGAGAGATTATATTGCTGAAAACGGTCTTTTAACGTGGAATTGTTTGTGACCATAATCCTATGGATCATTGATGGAATCTGTGTTAAGAATTTTGAATGCATGCTTTTCTTTGTTCCTTTATTCGAATCAAGCTTCCTGTTGGTTTCTCCTTTGTTTGCATTATTGGTCAATGATATATGCTACAGTTTTGACTTCGTCATGGACCGAGCTTCTAGGCTTGGCCATGTGTTGGACCCTGGATTTCCTCCAACGTTTAATTGCACTTCGTTTCGGAATTACCAGCCGTAGGCCCATAGTGTCCGTGTTACGGAAATATATAAAAAAAATTTGAATGAAAAAAAAAAAATTAATGCATGTACAACTATTAATAACAATAAAAAACCTTAATTTAGTTTCATACCTATATATTCACTATCAATTGCATTCCAAATCTATAAATTTTATTAATGAAGTCCCAAATGTTTTCTATATTTTTCAACCATGTCCTTTTAGTAATTTCCTTTAATGGTTTATATCTAATATTACAAAGAATACTAAAAAAAATAGGGTTTTTACTTTTTACTATTTCTAGACTATTCACCCATTCACATAATACTATTCACTTGATAATATTTTTATAATTTTGAGTCATTGTTATTTTTGCTATTTTAAGTGTTTTTAAGCATTTATTCTGTCAACAACACTGTTCACCCATTTTCACTGTATATTGAATAGTTTTTTTTTTTTTAATAGAAATTTTGAGGTTTTTTCAGTTATTTTGTACATAAAATTTTGCTCATATTGTTCTTTCGTCTCTCATTTTTTCAACAACTTTTATTTCAATTTACAATTTTATTTGTATTGTAATTTGGTCCCTAACTACTAAGAGGAGAGAAAAAGAAGAGAAGGGAGGGAGGAGAAAGATATATGTATAATTTTTTTAATAAATTTTTAGAATATTATTATTTGTTCTTTTTTAAAAAATTGATATAATTTATATAACGAATTCTTTTAATTTTTAAATGAAAGTGAACTCTCTATATATATAATCTAAAGATTGAAAGTGTTTTTTAGATTTTCACATATATTTTTTTGAAAAACAAAATTATAAGAAAAGTTTTTAGTTATGAATCCATAGATTTTTAAATTTTCTTACAAGTGTTTAGTTAAGAATTTGGATATAGAAAAATAAATCGTGTTCTTTTTAACAAAAAAAAAAAAATTATAAAAAAATATAATGACTAATTAGTTAAACGCAAAATCAAAAAAATTAACATTTTTTTTCTACCTTTGATTTGATATATTTTAATTGTCCCATAATATAACATATACCATCAAAATAAAATTATTTTTCAAAATAATTTTTACATGTTCTGTCTCACACACAGCATAGCATAAGTGAAAAAAGTAGTTTATATCTAACATGCATATTTCATGCACTAAAAATCTAAAATAGTGTTGATTTAAAAAATAATAGCAGAAAAAGTTAATAAACACCAATGTTTTCAATCTAATGTGCATATTTTATACATTGAAATCAATATTAATTTTAAAAAGACTTGGCAAAAAACATCGATAAACATTAACAAAAAGAATTTAGTGAGGCTATTTTTTATTTTTTTGATCAACTAAAAATGGAAAATTGTTGATAATTTTCAGTATAAGAATCATATTTCTTATAAAAAAAAAGAAAAAGAAAAACCCTTTTTGGAGTTGAAATCATATTTCTCAAGAAAATTTATGACCAGACTCCACAGTTGAAATTCATGATTTTTAGCAACATTTTAACCAAGGGCGCGTTCGGTCTACGCTAGCGAGGGGGCTACTATGGTCTCAGCGAATCTTTCACCCAAAGCTTCGCTTGGTGTACTCTGATGTCCAGACAAGTCTTTAAAGTGTCTTGAAGCCATTTGTAAATCAGGTCACAGTCCTCCAAATGACAGACTTCAATTACCATATGAATACGTTTTATTAGCTAGGATTAAAATCAATGTTCAAGCTATAAAATTAATGCAAGTTTATCTCACAACCCCAGATCTTTCATTTCCTAGTAACTGCTCAGGAAGGCTATAGAATTAAAGAGACGGTCAAACCTCAGATGTAATTTTGTTTATGTGATTAATTACTATCTCCAGCTAACATGATAATAGTAATAATGAGCATGAACGCACCCATGAGCACCACAAGTGGGGAAATATACAGAAGCTCCACTAGTAACTACAAGTTGTAAGTTACGACAGGGCATCATAACATGCCATACAGCCGAACCAAGTTGATGAGATGCATCATAATCACAACCACAACCTGATGCTGAAATTAACTAAAACTTCTACTTAATTCCAAATGGATTCTGCTTGAGGATATCACATCAAGGAAGAAATGGGTTGTGAGAAGGATGCGCATCTTTCTGCTTTTTGTAAGCCCTGAGATGCAAAACAATCAAAGATAGATGTGACCACATAATCTACACATAAAGCTTCTGGCAAAAAAATTGTCAATCGTTTGGGTTGAAAGTGCTAATCACCTGGTAGCATTTAACCCCCTAGTCCAACTGTTCCCAGAATAATAAAAAGGAAAGGGATCTGTATCAGAGCACGATTACTTCTTCCACCATGTGCTCTTGGCACTCCAGTCCTCACAACTCGAGCATAGGTGGCTAAATAAGACAGATCATGTTTGATCGAGAAATAATTAAAACAGCCAGAAAAAGAGAAGAAAATGAAATTGCAAGCAAATTTAAAAGCAAAGTTACCTGAAGCTGAATCTTCTCCTTTTGCACCTGCGGTAGCCATACATGAAACTTTTAATAACAACTCAATCTCATTGGTTGTTAGCTATTCAGCTAATCAACTGCTTTATAATCTTCTGAACAAGGAGATTAAAACATAAATGGTGGTTTGCAAACTCATCTAAAGTACACAGTCCAAGTACACACTCCAACTGAATGATCTCAAACAAAAAAACTCAAGAGGGCATTCAATTGATTTTTAACGCAAATGGAGTTGCGCTTCCAATGTTTGGGTAATTGTTTATCAAAATTTTTAAGGGAATTAGCCCCCAACCATCAATATGAATCCATACTTTTAATACAAGAGGCATACATTCATGTCACCAAACTAATAACTCATGAACATGGATATAAATAAATACTCAATCATCTAAGCTTTGTCTCAGAATAATTTACTAAACCGTAAAACTGAATAAGACGTAAGAACATCTGTTACAAAAGAAGCAAAAATACATGTCAAATGAGAATAGGAAGAAGTACATCATTGACAAGTAGACCTATATTGTCGACACCATCAAAATACCAAATTCAGAACATACTTACCAAACAGAGTTGGGAAAAAAAAAAAAATCAAATGAATCAGCTTAGATTGAAGAATG